CAAAGTTACCAAAAATGGATATGCTGAGGTAACTTATAATGTTTGACAAGAATTATAAGTATGATTCATAACACCATTATCTTAATGCAGATTACACTGGCAAAATTAGAAGGTTGGGAACAAATGAAGAACAAACTTATTTACCTATGCTATTAGTACAGATTTTCATCCATTTTAAGACACAAAATCCAATCCTCTCTTTTTCAATGACATATTTTTAAGTATTCGGTGATTTTTTTTAAGTATTTAATGGTCTACCAGAGTGGCCAGTCATTTCTACTTCTACATAATAAAACTTGGATGTATGTAGGGCAATTCTATTGAATGTTAGGCTTGCAAGGACCCCAAGTTCTGGTTAGTAACAAGGGACAGAAAACAGAGGCCTATTTTAAATCAAGCTTCTACTCTCCAGGGAACCACATGGATCCTAGCAACACTGAACAAAAGGCTATAGACAAAGTGATAGAGGATTCTGGACTACAAAAAATTTTTCTATCTCTGGGTAGTACACACACACACATACACACGCACACAAGTTTTGTTCTCCTGAATTAATGTTGTCTTCCATACCTATATATTATGTTCTTATTAGAGCAAATCACAAATATTGGGATTCTATATTTCCGGAAGAGTTTTCATTATATAATGGGTTTGTTATCGGATCATCTGGTCTCTGTAAGAGGATGATCCAGGGCCAGAGGATACTGTTCATCATGAACCACAGGACTCTGACCTGCAGAAAGAAGCTGAGACAAAGCCCAAGAAAGGTCAGGCCATCTGTGTGCTGAGGAGAGACAAGGACCTACACTTTTCTAACCCATTTATGCTGAACTAACATCACAGTGCATATTCTATTCAGGCAAACCTCACATGGAGCAAGTGATGGTGGGATGAAGTCACTTTTGTTTTTTCAAAATCCCTCTGCCATATTTACTTGAAGCATCTTATGCCATCTAGTAGCCTCACCAGTTTATAGGCTTTCTAGGGGAAAATACAGGATCTGAAGTTTGACTACCAAAACTGTTATGTGATTATGGCCATGAAGAATATAAAGATGAAAAAAGGAGCAGACAGAAAAAGCCACAGAATACAAACCTCTTCAGCCCACAGAAAACTTTCAGTCAAGTTTTAGTACACGAAGATGTGTATCTGAGACATCTATACTGACTCTTGAAGGCAAGGAGAGAGTTGGTAAAGGGGACTAGCAGTCTACACAGGACAGATAATTAAGGAGAGTTTTCTTCTCTCACGACACTCATATGAACTTCTCTCTCACTTGACACTATGACTCAACACACAGGCATTGTGGTTTAATAAGGATCAGGAGGAACAAATAGGCCGAATAGATGTCTATTCAGGGAGAAATAACTTACAACCTAGACAGATGAACATCCTGGTCCCAAGGATGCCCCCAGATGCTCTTCTGTCCCTGTGCTGCAAGCAAGAGAATGCTCCCAGGCCCCTCCTCAGACCTAGTTCCCCCAGGTAATGTCTGGCCCTGTCCCCACCCCCCAATGAGCGTGGTCAGTGCCACAGGTGGGGACAAAGCAAATATCTCACTACACACAGAGAAGCACTTTTCTAGCCTCCTCTATGTAGCACTCAGTGATGAACACCGTATTTATTGTGGATCCAAAAATAGAGAAGTAAGCACAATACAGACCTTGTACCAAAAATTTCAAAATGTGACTATATTTAGGGCCAGTAAGATGTCTCAGCAAGTAACATTGTTGGCCACCAAGACTGATTGATGACCTGAATTTGATCATGAGAACCCATATGGTGGGAGGAAGAAACACAGTTTTCCTCTAAGCACCAAATGTTCACTATGGCACATATGCATGTTGATATGCACACAAATAAATAAAGGTAAAAATTTAAGTGGCTGTCTTTAAAACCTCTTGAACTGTGTTATTTCCTTCAGAATATGTTATACCTCATATTTTGACAATACACTGCTTCAGGTCAGGACATTCAGCTTAAGAAGGCATGCCACAGACACAAAGCTTTCTTTGCACAGAAGACAGAACAGAAACTCAACTCTAAATGGAGTTGGAACATCCTTGGGCCTCTTCTAACAGCTGAGTCCCATGGCTAATATCTAGAAATTTAGCAAGATCTATAAAGATTGAATGGCTGGCACACAAAGACAAGCAATTATCTCTAAAAACAGTCATCTGAGACATCATTTTCTATCTCATCCCTGTCTTGACCTTTTAGGGTTCTACCTTCCTGTTAAGAAAGAAATTTTAGTTCTAAGGGACCTAATAAAGACAGTGTTCTTTCCTCTTCATCAAGCCAATAAGGTTTGCTGATTAAAAAAAAACAACAACAAAAACAATATTCTGTAGTTTCCTTCTTAATTGTCGTGGTGTCAGCAGATTTTATGGGAGGAGGGAATGGAAAGGTTCACTACTCAGAACACTAGTTGGACACAATTATGGGACTCCACCAGCACTATTTTAAGATCTGCAAGTTGGAGCAAGTTGTCCTGTTCTTAGAGGAAGGATTAACCAATTTTATCTAAGTCAATTTGCACTGTTCAGATGATCTGTTTGTGAAGCAACCATGTCTCTCCTTTTTGCAGCAGTACCTCTCAGAAGTGGTCTTGCAAGGTACAACATGCTAGGTAGGAATCCTAGTAGTTAAGAAAGTAAATAGGAAACAGCCCTTCTTGGCCCATAACATCTCTTTATACTCCCCACATCACACTCGCCCATCCCATCCTAGCCATGGGGACGTAAGCTGTGTTCAGCATAGGACAAATGTAAGCCCAAAATACTGAGTCAAGTCTGGGGCCTTAACACAGCCAGAAGAGGTTGTATTAACCTCTGTATATGAAAGGTTCTTTAAAAAATATTGACTCACTGCTGTAAGGTGCTAATCATGCTTGTATAACCAGACCTAAAACTATGCCACTTTTTATTGGGCATTAACTAACTGCCCCCATGTTAGCTAAAAATGGGTGAGGTTGTGTATTCAAATGAGTCTGACTCAGATTGTTAAGTTACAGTGCAATCAATATGATTTATGACTTAAAATCATCACCATTACTTTATATGCCTAATTGTATATGTTTCCATTCATTAAACATACATTTGGTAAAAACAAATTGACTTAAGATCTAAATTACAATAACGATTTGAATCCCAGGGGGACTAATAATGGCAAAGTAAGGTTTCTGTAAATTAGTGTTCTCATTTATACCCAGTCAACCCAGTAATCCAATAAAGGATAAATGAAGTGCTTTCATTGGAAAATATAATGCTGAGGTTTATAGAAACCTTTTATCTTCAAAGGACCAAGCCAATACTCACAATAGTTCATACCATTATGCCTTTTATGTAAGTACAGCAACTGTGAAAGAAAGGTCATACAAATGTCCAAGGGCCATAAAGCCAATGCAACAGCACATTTGGAATGGACTCTCTGATCTTCTTGGCTCCACGACTTATGTTTCAACCACATGAATCAAGTTTTGTAAGGAACAATCAAGAGAAATTTAATTCACATTATGAGTCTGTATCAAGTTAATTGATTGAGCAGGAATATATATATATAAACTGATTCTCCCTCAACGCCGTGATGGCTGGGGATGTAAAAAGGTGTGTGTGTGGTGGGGGGGGGGGGGTTAAACCAGGGTATAGCAAAAGCTCCATAAGCAGAAGTGAGGAATATGAACTTTCTATTTGGCAACCCCATCTCCTGTTGGAATACTGCCAGAGAACTAAGATTCGATTTCGGAGAGGAAGTAGAATAGAATTAAAGTCAGCCCTTATGGTCCAATTTGAAAATCGGATTAATTAATCCCCACACAACAGTTGTCTATTATTACAGCTTCCAGTGTTTTCCTTCATAAATACTCCCCCTCGGAGATACCCAACTGCCATTCACCAGCCCCACCCTCCAAAATCTTTAAAAAAAAAAAAAAGCAAGCAAAGTGATTGAGACACAAACAGCTGCGTTGTTGGATGTGCACAGGTTGGTAGAGAAAATCTGAGAGTGCAGGGACCGCGCTGAGGGATCTGGGTGGGCAAATGCTGTGAAGGGGGAATAAGAGGCATAACCGTGACAGTGAATAAGGAGTGCAGAAGAGAGAGCAAAAAGTGAGGAGTCCGACCATCTCAGGGTCCCAAATTCCTGCTCGAAATAGAAATGCCTCTAAAATAAATAAATAAATAAATAAATAAATAAGGTGCTGCACGTGAAGTGCGAAATAACCTAAGCCAGCTCATCGCCAGTAACGTTACAGTAAATCTGCTCTGCCGTTATTTACTTAGTTCTTACGAGCCCGAAATGGGGAAAAAAAAAAAAAAAAAAAACCCTCCCATGTTCCTGCTTCAGTAGCAGTGTGTCCTGTGGATGGACACACACTCAAGTTTTCCCTCTACCCCACGGCGCTGCTTTCACTGCTAGGCCAGAAATAAGGAACCACCCAGACAGAGAGACTTGACGATCCCTTGCTTCCCTAGCGAAAAGCTGGGATTAAGTTTCTCCCAGGCTCCTGCCGGCTGGGTGTCCGCAGCATCACAGGCTGCTGCGCCAGCACCGCCGAGCAAACCGCCGACCTCGGGGCGCCGCCCGGGCCGAGGACGCCTCGGATTGCGGGAGCGTGGGAAGGCGGCTGCGCCCTTTCCCAGACTTGCGCCTAGGCGCCAGGAGAGCCGCTCCACTGCTTTCTCCCGCCTCGGCCTGGCCAAGCGGGAGGCCTGGGGCCGTCCCCTGCCTGGGATCCAGGAGTGCAAACTCCTTCCCATGAGGGCAGCAGCAGGCACCCGGGTCATCACAGGGTGACAGACACCGCGGGCCCCGCTACTGCCTCCTGGAGCCTCGGATGCCGCCGTCTCCACCCCTCCCCTTCCCGCCGAGCCCGGGTGTCCTCCTCGGCCAGCGCCGGCCCCAGTGGCACCTGAAGAGCAGCCGGAGCCCGGGCCGAGCCCTACGCGGGCGGCGACACTCAACCCCCCCCCCAGGGCCGCGGCGACGGGACGCATTTTTACCCATATTGTTCCCGGGTGCCAGCCATGTCCTACACGCGCCTGGGAGCGTCGGCTGCTCGCCGGCCTCCGCAGCAAGCTGGCTTGGGCTCCCGTGCGAGCTCCCGGGCCGCTGTCGCTGCCGCCGCCGCCACCACCACTCTAGGCCGCCGCCTGCCTTCGCCGCCGCGGCCGCCGCCGCCACCGCCGCGCAACAGCCGGGATCCGCCAGCCCGCGCGCCCCACGGGGGACAGCACGGAGACCGCGACGTTCCCGCGTCTGGGTCTCCCGGGCGAAACTTGAGAGTTTTCGCCTCTCAGTCCAGAGGCAGCACCATGACACCACCGCAGCACCACACTGTCATTTCCGCCGCCGCAGAGGAGAAAAAAAAAAAAGGCAATCCCTTCGAAAGGAGGGTGGAGTGGGGGCAAGCGGAGCCGAAGCTGACACCCCCAAGGGAGCACTGGGAGGGGCCCGGGCAGAAGGGGCACCGGGCCACCTTCCTAGGCTCACCTTCCTCCGCCGCCGCCACTCCCAGCTCCCCGAGCCCCTCCTCTGGAGGCGCGCTTACATGTTTTCTCCCCTGGCAGGAGTGACCGGAGAAACCTGAGCAAGCAAAGGCAGCGGGTGGGTGGGGTTCAGATTACTACTGTACCTACCAGCTGATTCCAGCAGCCTTTTCTCCAGTGCCCTGTCATCTTGATGGAAGACACAGGGAAAAGGGGCCTGAGCAGGCAGGCGTGTGTGTGTGTGCGTGTGTGTGTGTGTGTGTGTGTGTGTGTGTGTGTGTACCCGCGCGCGCGTCTGCGAGCGGGTTGTGTGTGGTGTGAAGTGCAGAGGGAAGACTATGGCCAAACTCTTCTCCCACCCACTACCCACTACCTCCACAAACCCTCAGATTAGCAAGGAAAAGACCGTTGCGCACGCCAGTGAGAAGAGTCTGCCTGGATCCTCTGCACAGGTCCTACTGGTGAAGCTGTTCTATGTATGCAAAGTTAACTAGAGAGTAAAACAAAAATAGTGGAGGAGATAGAGAAGGGCAGACAATTGAAGGAAACCCAACCCTTTCTCATTTTTACAAAGGGAGAATGGCTGTGTTCTATTGGCCTTGGCCACAAGTTGTTCGGGTGGATTAAAGCCACTGAAAGTGTATGGGTAGGTAAGGTTTCTTTTGCACCTTCAGATACTTGACCAACAAGACAAGACCGTCATTAAGAAGAGGTCAATGAGGCAGAAGCTAGCCATCCAGGAATTCTATATCCCTAGTAAGATGAACCCAGGAGCCTCCCATTAGTCTGGAGTCAGCCTGCCTACTATTTATTGACTTATCATTGGCTCAGAGACCACTGCCCCTCTTGAGGTGGATGAAAGAAGCTGCCCCAAAGGATATTGTTTAGGGCTCCACTCATAAAGAGAAGAGGAAAGCAATCAAAAAACAGCCTCCTATTACTGTGCTTGGGAACAAATCCAGAAAAAAAAAAATGAAGGTAGCTGGGTCTTTTCAGGGAACCAATAGCAGTGAGCCAACAGCACTGTTAAACGGTATGCTAGAGAACTCTGGGGTGGGAATGAAGGGGGGAAAACCCAATCATGCTACCTTAAGTGAAGTACAGCACTGAGAGATGTAAAAGTTAATGCGTCATACCCAAAGCACAGACAACAAAAGCAAATGACATATGAGACTACATAGCACCGAACACCTACACGGTGGAGTGCACAATCAACACAGATGGGAAGAGGGGAAAATATTTTAAAGAGCATATATGATAAAGGCTTAATATCTAGAATATACAAAGAGAGGGTAGAATCTGCTCCCCTACATGCATGCCCTCAGGATAGGTTCACCCTGGCCTGTGGTGAAGGGTGGGGGCCATCTCACCAGCATCCATCGGCCAGCTCTCTTGCTGTAGTGTCCAGTGAGAGGCAAGGCCAGCTTTCCCAGGCCCAGTGAAGGGCGTGGCCAGCTCAGCATGGCACTCTGATTTCAGCTTGCATGGTTCCGAGGGTGTCCTGAGGTGACACAGGCCACAACCCCAGTTGTAGCTAGACCACAGACCCAGACATGGTCCTAGGCTACAGCTTGGGCCCAGACTACATCCTGGCTCTGGGTGGAGGGACTGGCCACTCAGATAGGAATAATTGAGTTTTTAGAAATAATTTTTAAAGACTAAAGGTCATAGAGATAGAAAGTTACTAGGGGCCAAGGGCAGGAGGGAATGAGGAGTTGCTTAAAACATATATAAAATACTTTGTTTCATGAAAGTACTTAATTATACACTGAAAAATGGTTAAAATGATAAATTGTATGAAAACAAGATAAAAGTAAAAAAGAAAGAGGAAGTACACTGAACAAGTATAGATCATCCCATTTGTGTAAGCAGACTATATGTGTATCAGCACATGTATAGAAGAGCCTAGTCATCCTATATACAATATGAACCTAGACCTGACCTTGGTATTTATGGAGATCTTTTGATAACTGGATATTCTGCATTAAGACTTTGTTCTGAGCCATTGGTTGGTGGTGCACACTTTTAATCCCAGCATTCAGGAAGCAGAGGCAGGTGGATCTCTGTGAGTTCAAGGCCAGCCCGGTCTACAGAGGACAGGCAATTGAAGGAAACAAGGACAGGCTCCAAGGGTACACAGCGAAATCCTTTCAAAAAAAACAAAAGAAAAAAAGAATAAAAAAAAAGACTATTTTTAAGCAGAGCATGGTGGCCCACACCTTTAATGCCAGCAATTGAAAGGCAGAGGCAGGCAGATCTCTGTGAGTTCAAGGTCAATTTAGTCTACTGTACTGAGCAAGTTCCAAGACAGCCAAAGTTGTTACACAGTAAAACACTGTCTCTAAAATCCAAAAGAGACTGCTCTTTGATATTTTAAATCAACACAGAAAAAGAAAATCTACAAAAAAATACTCAAGTTGAGTCACAAATTCAAGAGAGAAATTGGTTGAGCCCTGTGAATTGTCTTCCAGTCTTACTGAGTGAGATGCCCACAGGACAATGGAGATTTTTGAACAATGTAAAAAAAGAATGACCATTTGCATTTGGGTGTACTTGTATAAAGCTAGCTCACTCCTGGTGGCACTGACAGTAAAGGAGATTTGCTTTTCTTGGCTTTCCTCGCCTTTTAGAAATGATTCCATCCTTTGCATTTTAGACATCTCCCCTGCACCCAAGTTTCTGGTGCTTCAGAGTCTCTGAGCTCTATATAGAACTCCCCTAACCCTGTCTTTTCTCCCAAGAGACTATTCTGGACCTTTCCTTTCCCTCCTCAAAATTTAACTGCTGGGTCCCTTTCACAAAAGACCTTGCTAAGTGATTAAGGAATTCAATCAACTAACTCAAGCTAAATGTTAATAGCTTCATTTGTCTCTCTATTAGGAGATAATATTTTAATTTTAACAGAGGCCTTCAATGTATTAATTCAAAGGAATGACTAATGGCTTGTGTGGGTGGGAATGGGGGATGGGGGATTTTGCTAATCACATCACATAAGCAGCTGCTTTGAAAATATCCCCACTTTCAACAGCTTTATGCAAATTTCTCACTGTAAATTTATTAAAGTAAATGTTTTGTATCTGGCAGGAGATGTAAAATTGGCTGGGAATGTGTGGTGAAATTAGTTGTTTATAATTATTTAATGGTTACCTTTGTATATAACATATGTTGATCCTATTAACAAAATAAATCTGGCCCATAAAAAACGATGTCTGACAGATGCAGCTGGAGGTGTTTAATTGAATTAATCTGAAGCAGACTTACCACACCACAGGCCCGCAGTATGAAAAGGACGGCTCATGGCTATTTTTTTCCAGCTGAGAATGTAAGAGGGAGGGAGTGGCTCCAGATACTTTCTTCAGAGAACAGCACAGAGGCCAGTCTGTTCCAGAAGGGAAAAAAATCACAGAAGGGTGATTTTGTTGTACAAGAGCATCATTGCCTCTGCAGAAGGGGACCTGTTCTCAAAAGAAGCAGCTACTTGTCTGAAATCCAGAGGTTGACCAAAGGCTTTTCTAACCAAGCAGCTCTTAACAGGATGGTGGGAAGAAAAGCACTTTTGGCATAGTCTTGTCAATAGGACACTGTTCTAAAACTAGTGGTGAACCGGCCAAATGGCTCCACAGGCTGCTTGAGAGACAGTGGTTCAAAATAATTATGTTCCTAATGTGGAGAAGTAGTGTGTGCCTGGTGCATTGTATTATTTTATTTCTACTCTGCTGCTGCTTTTATAGCTTTTCTGAATTGCTATAGTAAACATGTATGTTTGCTATCTCCATTGCATTCCTGGAGTTTTAATGTGCCATCAGGTCCAACCTTAACCCTTACTGCTGGCCAGGCCTTCCCAATCAGTAGTGTCAGTTACTTACTCTCTGGCTTCCACAGCATCACACCTTTCGTGGTTTTCCTACCATCTCACTACCTATTACTCAGATTCTGTTGTTTCTTCCTGCTCTTTTATTGCTCCTGAAGACTGTATACCCTAGATCCATATACTTATGGATCCCAGTTTTATCTTCAACTCTGACCTCTCCCCTGGGTCCAAGCTTTCATATTCTTCTGAGTATTTTACATCTCCATCTGGATGCCTTATAGGCAATACTAACAGTTTGGCTAAAAAAGGAACTCTTAACTTTCTATCCCTCCTCATTTAGCTTAGTAGCATCATCCAACTACTTAAATCAGACTGGGTTGTCATCCTTGACACTTTCCATACCCCAGAGCCCAACATCTAACTTATAATACAGTCAGAGTTTCATTTTCTCACTTCTACTTACACTAATAACTCTGGCCAGTGATCCTTTCAAAATGGGAATCTTATCATTTAAAGCCTCATTCCCTGCTTAAAACTCTTCAGACTCCTCTATTGTCATTAAAAGAATTTTCAAATTGCACAAGGTATACAACACAGGGCATTAGCTGTTGTGATGGCTATTCTTGGTTGTCAACTTGAATATATCTGGAATGAACAACAGTCCAGAAATGGAGGGCACACCTGTGATCTGGATCTTGAGGTGGGATGACATAAGCCTTTAATCCAGATCTTGTGGCAGGGAGAAACACTTTTAATCTGGGCCACATCTTCTGCTGGAAACCTATATAAGGACAATGGAAGAAGGAAGGGGTTGTTCATCCTTTGTCTGCTTCCCCTTGATTTTTCAGCACATCCACTCCTTCATTGGCATTGCAGCCTATTTCTTTGGAATTCTAACATATATAGAAGAATAACTGAGACTCCCAACCTCCTGGGACTGAACAATTACTAGATTCTTGGACTTGCCATTCCTAGCTAGCCATTGCTGAACTGCAACCTATAAATTATTCCTGTAAATTCCCATGTATACAGATAGATGATAGATGAAAGAGAGAGAGAGAGAGAGAGAGAGAGAGAGAGAGGAGACAGAGATTCAGTCCATGAGTTCTATGACTCTAGAGAACCCTAACTAATACAGCTGTTCTCTGCCAAAGTCACCAACTTCATTTTATCCAACTCTCATCCTTGCCCATGGCAATCTAAGCACACTGACCTTCTGACACATCTGGAACTACACACTGCTCTTAGATAC